CCCTTAGGTGGGTCTCCAGGGCTGCATAGACTGCATCCCGGGCACGCTATACTAGCACGCTATACTATGGCAGTCCCTTTGCAATCCCGGAAATTCGAAAGTGAGGGTTGTAGCATTGTGCAGTACAAGGTTGACCTGCAATCTTGGAATTCCACTAAAACCCTAAGCCCTGAACCCTGAGCCCCAAGCCATGATGATCTCTCGGTGATCCATTCCCTCATAAGACCCTGGCGCATGGTTTACGGCAGGCTTAGTAAGGTGTCGCCCTTCCGGTGGTCCTGAACGCTGCCGCATGCCTTGTCTGATGTCTTCCTGTCATTGTACTTCCATCGTTTCGGGGAGTGTTCATCATCCGTGAACAGGGGTTTGCTATCGCTATTCTCGTTGTCTATGTAAAGTCAATATACCCTTTCAGAGGCCTCTTGACGGCTACCTGTAAGAAGCTGCAGCGGGGAGATTCCTGCGGTAGGGCTCAGGGTGCAGTGGTTGGCCTAAGGCCTAAGGCTGGCGTTTGGGAACCATGCCAGGAAGGGGCTTTTCCTCCGTTGAGGGCATGTCTAGGTGGAGCCCTCAATGCGGCGCCTTGCATAGCGGCCGAAGCATAACAGGAGCCCTACCTTTCTTCTAAGCATACTTAGGACGGCCCGCAAACGTCCCAGAAGGGGATTAAGTATCAGGAGACGAATCATACCACACCAAAGGCCCTACACTACAACGGTAGGTGCTCCTGGATTGCTAAAGTTGATGGAGGCAGGCTTGCACTAGTTGAAGTCCAAAGGCTGTCATACCTTCTCCGAACTTTGGGCATCTATGACCTCCACATCCATGTAATCTTGACAAACCCCCAGTAAGATAGGGGTTATGTTGGGGGAATATTGGGGTTATATAGGGGTTATTTGGGGAAAATGGAAAACAAAATGGAAACTACTATAGTATTCTGGGGTCCCTATAGAAATACCTCAAACGGTGTGGTGCAAGGTTTTTTCCATCAACACTTTAACGGGCACCCGCAGGATTGGCATGTGCGTGTGGGCTTTGTACAGATGGGTCCTTGCTGGCCATGCTGTGGGTCGGTGTAAAAGGGAAAGGTCTCTGATTTTGCGCTGGGTACTTGCAACGTAGGGAGAAAGAGTCGGGTTACAAGTTACAACCGGGTTACCGACATCCCATAAGGTTACTATATTCTTGAGTTAACGTGTATATAGGTGTGTATATATATATACACATACATATCACTCCCGTTTCGGAATATACCGTATTATATATCCACCTAGCGTTCAGCACTTTCTGTCATTGGGATGTCTTTCTCTCAAGGGTTTGTTTCTTGGGTGTATATCTGCAGAAACAGGAAAGGGCCACTGGGCTTGAGTAGTTAGTCTAGTCTGTGGTTTAGGTTTAGGGGTTTGGGGGTTGTGGGGTTGAGGGGTTGAGGGGCGGCTTAGGGGTTTAGGGGTTTAGGGTTTTGGGTACAGCAGGGCTTGCTGTTTTTCATGATCCGGAACTTTTCTGCAATGTTATGCGAAAGATGCAAAGCAACTGGGCTGTATTGCCACAAGTCTGCCGCTCAGTTGACACACACAGCCGTACGGGAGTTTGTCCAAATTACGCAGATCTCTTATGTGTATTTCTAGGTGTCTCCCTTGGGGCATGTGGGAGCGTGTCAAAGCAGAGGGTCTTTGGGGACCCTTGGGAAATCTAGGGATCATGTAAGGACTAGGGGGGTTCTCTGTGAGGGCTTAGTTCGCGGAGATCTTGCAGAAAGTCAGGAAGGGCAGGATCTTGTAAGACACAGGGATGCGGCCGAAAGAGCTCGATTTGGGGTTCTTGGCCTAGAGGGTTTAGGTATAGGTATGGAATTCTGTCCATCGGGGTCCCCCCCTCCAAAATTGATGCAGAGCAACAGGAAAAGTGTCATAGCTTCCTTCAAACCAAGATGTCTTATTTCTGTTCAGTGCTGACAAATCAATGCTGAACTAGCCATGGCACATAGATCCCACAAGCTCAGGCCCAACACCCTAAACCCCAAAGCCTACACCCCAACTCTTATGGATCCTACTTGCACTACTCCGAGCTCTGGCATTTTTTTGTTAAGGGTTTAGGGTCGAACATCTCTAGGGCACGCCGTCTACAAGGCACAGGGTGGTATTCATGATCCTCTCTGAAGTGCTCAGTCTTTACACCTCACCACGAGCAAGAGGCGCAATGAAGACCAAAAGTTACAGCCAGATGTGGGCCAAAAGCTGGTGAAGTCTCCTCGCCTCATCAAACCGACGCCACAAGAAGCGGTGTTTACCGAGGCTCAGGAGCCAACCCCAGACCGCCGTGAATTTTGCAGGTAAATCTCTTCAGACATCCTGTTCCCCCTCATGTCAAGCGACCGATGAAACATGGTTCCACCGAAGATTTTTTTGGAAAACATTGGCAAGCGGACTCCACAGTGGGCTTGTTTGCAGAGCCTATAAAGATCAGGTGGCCGCAACATGTTCCTTTATGCCCTTGTCATCCTAAAATATTCATACCTGGAGGTCCAGGGTAACGATAACCTGCTAAACCCTAAACCCTAAACCCTTGGTAGTTGTAGGAATGGACAGATTTCAAGTCCTCTAGGTAGACTTGCCCAAGACATGTTTGGACCATACTTGGTAGATTCCATAAACAGGGAGACCCCACTTGAACCCCCAATATCTGCTATATATTCCTTTTTGTGAGGACTCCCAAAATCGAACCCCCAATTTTTTTCGAAGGCGCCCTAATTATTTCCTAGACCCCAAACCCTTAACTCCTCCAAATGCAGTTACTAAGCGGGTGGGTTATAAACATATCAAGGAGTCCCGTATGTCTCAGCAAGGTATGGGTGCAGCTAGGAGGGTTGAACGGGTTCTGGCTTGGGAGTGATGATTTAGGGATTAAGCTGAGGATTTAGGATTCAGGGTTCAGGATTTTGGGGTTTAGGGCTTGGAGTTAGGGTTGAGAATGCAAGTGGGGCTTGATCTGGTAGATTCCCAAAATAGGGAGACCCCAATATAGACCCAAAAATACTATGATCCTTATTATGGAGACACCCAAAAAGGTACCCCCATTTTTAGGAAACCTCCATCTAATGGTGTTGGGAAGAGTTTTCAGGGATCCTACAGGTCTACGATGAAAAATGTTGGGGAATGCATCTTCGGAACAGGAGTTCTTGATCAACTACCAGTTGAGTTCTGCGACGTTCTTTGCTGCGTGTTCTGTGAAAGCTGCTGCGCAGATACAGTAACAAGTAGCATCCAAGCTTCATACACAGCACTTGCAAAGTGTTTCTGAGAGCCCTTGATAGCGAGTTTTATCATTTGGCCTTTGAAATTGCGAACCCTTAAGTCTCTACTCTACTCCAAATCTGAAACCTTTAGCCCTATAGCCTCAACCCTCTAAACGCCCTGCGTCTAACCTTCTGGTTCTCGTGCTAGAAAACGACATTCTTATATGGTCCAGCCACCAAGAGTCACATGGTTTGGGGCTTCGCGATTATTGTACAGGCCAGAGTGCCCCTGCAGCCGTTTCGAAGAAACGGTAAAGGTATACTCTGTCACTCACAGGATTTCCCGAACTTCTGGCTCCTCAGGCGAGCTTACAAATGAAGCCCCACGAGCAGGCGGACCTCAGTTCAGGGAAAGCGCCATTTGCACCCTGCCTCCAGCTACATGTCAGGATTTCTGAGCATTTGGGGCCCTGGTATTCAGATTGTTCTACTTAACTAGCAGATTTTTCAAATCCTCAAACTCATCGTGACAGCTGAGTACGCATTCCTGGAAGAGGGCATTTTTTGGTAGAAGTCTCCCGCACTTGACCAGTTTTTTAGATCATGGGTCACCTACCGCTCGGATGTCCAGAATTCGAGATGTGGCAGTTTAACATTATACAGGTCTATACAGCATACAGTTACCCTTGGCCGTTTCGGCCAAATCAGAAGGGGAACTTGGCAGTTTGTGCTTCGCACATGAAGTGAGGAACTACAGTGAACTGCTTTGCGACTCTCCCCCGAGCCTTCCCAACTGAAGCGCTCTCATCATTGGTTGATATTAAAACTCTTGCATGGCCTTCGTATGCAAACTCCCCATCACTCCCAAGCTATGAGGTAATTAGGGCCATGCAGGACTTTTAGTATCCACCGTCCCAGCCAGACGCCATAAGGCGCCACGCAACGAGACCCTTCGCGAAATGAAGTGCAGGTCCTTGCAGCCTTTGCCCAGTGGAAGTGTTCTTGCTGGTTCTGGTGCTGGTGGTATTGGTGGTGGTGGTGATGGTGGTGGTGGTGGTGGTGGTGGTGGTGGTGGTAGTGGTCGTTGAGGAGGAGGAGGAGGAGTAGTAGTGGTGGTAGGAGTAGTAGTAGTAGTAGGAGGAGGAGGAGTAGGAGTAGGAGTAGCAGTAGTAGTCATCGTTGTCGTCGCCGTCGCTGTTGCCGTAGGAGGAGGCAGTGGAGTAGGAGTTGACAAGCGGATATGGGTCCAACACATGCAGCGCTATGTTGAGCATCGTCCTCTCTTTTGGCCGAGCAGCGGGGCACATCAACTTTGGCAACGTTCGTCCTGTCTGAGCAAGTTTTAAGTGGAGCCAGCTGAATATGTGCTGAAAGCCAAACCATAAGACAGGCCGGTGACCCTACACCCTAAAACACACTCCCGACTTTGAAGCTCTAACCTGGCCTCTACCTCTTTCCTGGGTCGTAGTTATGGGCCATGAATTGGGATTTCGATTTTTGATAGCATATATAATAGGTATATAAGGACACCCGGATCAAGGGCCCATACTGAGGGCCCATACTATATTCTAGCTTGCCATGGTCTTTGAAATTTGAGTTTCCATGATATGCAATCCAACAACAGTACAATATACCAAGTAGCCCTTACTACTCCTAAGTTCCCATACCTATATACAGAGAAGGATAGAAAGTCACCAGTTTCCTTTTCATGTTCCATTTGGGTTTTTCATTTGATTCTCCACTGAACCCTACACCCCCTAAGGTCATGATCACGGGTGACTATCTCAAAACAGCCACGGCCATAGCCAGGCAATCCCGGTTTTGTATCAGTCTGTCAAAAATGAGGGTTTAGAGTTTTGGGCTTAGTTTAAGCTTTAGTTTAATGCTAAGGGTTTAGGGTCCAGGGCTCGAGGTTTAAGGTCCAAGAGTGTAAAGCTGAGAGCATTGGGCTTGGGGTTTAAGAAGTTTGCGAGTAGGGCTTAGGGTTCGGGGTAGTTCAGGTTGCTTTGTGTGACTGTGGGGTTCCGAACAGATTAGGGAACCTTTTTGCTGACGATTATGATTTCAATTGGTTTACAATACGCTCAGAGGAGATGGTATTCCAGGCCTTTCCGAATAGAACCGCTAGATTCAGAAGCACGCTATGCTCCAGCCTTTTCCATCGTCGTGGTCGCTCCAAGCCCAATTCTGTCTCTTGTGGAAGATACGCAGTATCAAGGGTCCACGGGCATCGTTCGGACAAGTAGTAAGATCAACTCCAATATGGTTCATATCTGCACAAGTACTTGTTTTTTTGCATGTGATACCGGCAAGATTCTGGTGATCAAGGTCGCTTTATAATGATGATCTACCGCAGTTACTATCCCAGGCTGTTCCACAGCCATTTGCAAGAGTTTGGTACTCTCTTGTCCAAGTGAAATCTGATGCATCTTGTTTTCATGCTGTTTGAAAAGAAAGCATATAGATATTATGCAGCACGTCTAGAGGGAGTGGAATTCGGATGTCTTTGGGTTCAGGGTTTTGAGTCAGCATGTCGGTTATGCGTTTCAAGGACCATCGATACATCTCTGCCATTTGATCTGGCAACATGTATCTCAAACTAGAGGTCTGATTTACATATCCTGAAGCAATAGAGTCCCCATGGGACGGACTTGCCAAACATCAAGATGACCCCTGAGGGTAGGGTTCCCCTCCGCCTCCACCATCGCCGCCGCCGACGCCGCTGCAGCAGCAGGCTGTTTGTCACCAAAATCTTCCTGTCATCCCAACATATACCTCAAACCTCCAGGTATTACTTCTGTGAGCGACCCCGTAGTTATCTAATGCTCAAGAGAGCTTTTTGCAAGGCGTGTGGAGATTCTTCGGCCGGAGGATAACATCGCTGAAGCAGATCCTCTGCTCAAACACGTTGAGGGAGCCAAGCACCGGGAGCCCCATACCTCTTCAATCATGTTAGGGATCCTACGTTAACCCCAACTCCTAAATTTTAGCTCCGTGACATTGTCTGGATTTTCTCAAAGTTGTTTAGGTTGCCATTCGGTGACTAGAAAAGGGTAGAGCAGGATTCAGGGATTCAAGGCCCAATTTTTGAAGATTTCAATCTTCAATATACAGTTAGGGTTCTGCTAGAAAGGCCCGTGATGAACAAAAATTGTGGAATGCAGGAGCTTGGAGGAATCTTCGAGAGATCTTTAGCGATTGCGACGGGATTGATCGTTGTTCTGAATCATGCAGGGATTTTTTGGCGATTGCTAGGTCAATGCATGACCGGAAATGGGTTGTTTAGCGTGCCGGGACCCTCCTACGTGCTAGGTTTTTGATGAACATTTTAGCCGGTGGCTGAAATGCCCTCGAGTTAAGCCCACATTCCCCATTGTACCTTACATCCAAGGTTTCAGCCAAAAATTCCGGACAGTGTGTCATTGCAATCTACACAAAACTATTTCAGCCCGTGTTGCTTGATTTCAGAAAAAACTGGGTCGATCCAGTATCCTCTACACATAGGTTTTCGGTTTTAATGCAGCCATGCCCGCAGCAGTCATGCTCGAATTCCTCTTGCTTGCGCGTTCCAAAACCAGGCTTGAGATTGAGATCCTAACAAAAACAGCAAACCAGAAGCCAAACAAAGAGTATGAGTAGTTTGCAGGTGGGCTTCTTCGTATCGAAATCACATCGCAGTGCATTGTTGATGTTTTGACTGAGCACACATATTGCGCTCAGCTTCGTTGTTTTGGTTGGAATCCTTGTCCAAACACAGAAGAAGACAGTTGTGGAAATTCATGGAAATCTCAGTGACTTGCTTAAACAGGGCTATTGCTGGTGAGGCTCTCAGGATGTCTCAGGAACTCCCGTGCCAGATTGCAGGCCTTTGATCAGCTACACTACCCCAACCCCACGCCTCGCCATTTCAGCTTGCATTTTGGCATTCCAGCCCGGGGTATGCATCTCCAGCTTGCAAGCTGAAGCCCCCATAGCGCCACCTTTCTTCTATCTTGCGCAGAAATCCCTCACGAATGGGACCCCTCAAGTTGTCCGTGATATGGGGGTATGCAAATACTTTGGGCCCAACCCGCTTTATTCAACTCCGAACACACATATTTCAGACCTTGCATGAGGTCAATTTATCCAAAAACACGGCTGCAGTTCATCAAGGCTGCAGTTCATCCAAAAACAAAGCGACAGTTTGGGTCTCATATGTGAGGTTTTGAAAATGCGGTTACACCGTGGCACTTCAGATGACCCGGGCAAATTCCAGCAGTCTTGGTCGCTCCTCCACTCCATATTAGCAACCAGTAAATAGCCCGGATCTTCAAGCAATTCAGTAAAGGCCTTAAAGCCCCAACCTTTAAACCTAAGCCTCGCACCCTCTCAACCCTGAACTCCAAACCCTACGCCCTAAACGTTAAACCCCAAAAACTACACCTTAAACCAACACTCGAAACCCCAAATCTTAAAGTGGGTTGCTTTTAAGGAACTTAAATTCAGTCAACATGATAGGCATATATAGTAAATAATCGGGTTTCCCCAATATAGTAACTAAAATGAAGTTCCTTAACAGCAACCCAGTATGCCCAAGGCTGTAGATTGCAACTCCCTGCGGCCCAACGGCGATATCTACGTGCCGGAAGACCAGATGGCAAGGGGCCCGGTCAAAGCCGGCTTCAGCCGGGTTCAGGCTTGAGGGTTTAGGGTGGGGAGGCGACCTTGCACAAGCCTTTTGGGGGATTTCCCAAAAGGGTCCCTTTCTGTCGAGTTTAGGGTTTAGGGCTTAGGTTTTGGGGTTTTATCCCCACGAATGGAGACTCAAATCGGAAAAAAACATGGAATGGAAACTGGGATTATGAAGGGGTTTGTGGGGATTATGGTTTCCCAAAATCAGGGTCGCGTTTTGTTGGGGTCCCTATAATGAGGGTTGCAATACTTTGGAGTCTACATTGATCCGCCTCTTTATCGAATGTGCTACATACTCCTTCTAGAACTCCATCTGAAGTAGATTTTTTTGATGGTATGTGGCGAGTGTTGAGTGTATATAAGAGGAGTATCAGTGATTGTGTGTATAGATATATTGACATCCATTTTTGGGGGGCAACGAACTAAAAGCCTGCTTTTTGAAACCCCAAACCTCAATCCTAAAAGCTTACACTCCAAACTCTAAAACCTGATGCCCCGAGCCCGAAAGGCCCGAAATCCTTGCCTGGGAATTCCGCTATCGTTAATTTATTGTTTTGCTTGGATTTAGGGACTCAAAAGCCTAAATCTTAAACCCTAAACTTTGTAATTAGTTGGGAAATATTGAATGAAGCTCTTGTCTGCCAGAGCTCTGTGGAAGGTAAAGTTTAGACGTTTACTTGAGCATTTTTAGTTCTTGGGTTTAGGGTTTAAGGTCTAGGGTTTTCGGACGTGGAGTTTCAGAGTCGATTTTCTTGTCCGCTTTCTTCAAAGCCGCGGATGGCCATATTTAAGCTGCTGTCTCGGAGAAGCTTTTTTACGGTGTCTACGGAGGTTTGGCGAACTTTTGATAACACTTGGGATTTGGGATATCTAAGCACTTGGCAAAGATCATGGGTTTTTATTGAGACTCTCTAAACAGCAGTTTGCATGTTGAGCAAGCTTCCGTATCAGGTGGCCAGAACCTGCATTTCTACCCCCGGTCCCCCAGCCGCCCGAATGTTGTTGTGGATATTTAAAAATCCAGCATGGTCTTGTACGACCTAAGTATACCAGAGTAGCGTGTTTCCCAGGGTATAAGGTACTTAGGGTCATGCAGGATTGTTAATGTCAACCCATCATACCATATCCCAAACTAAGGTTATGGATTTTTTTTGCATGCCCGGAAGCGCCCATCAGTTATCTGCATTCAACAGTAGTTAAACTTCCTTCATGCTTTTTAGGGTTTGGGGCTAAGGGTTTAGGGTTTCAGATTTTGGTGATGCTCCTTCGGAATGCAATCTCAGATTCTCCTCCCCAAACCTATATACACCACCCCCGACGGCACTAAGTCCCAAATCACAAACGCCAGCCCAAACCCCACACGCTAAACCCAACTCCTAAACCCAAAGCCCCAAACCCCCAAACCCTAAACCCTGAGCTCTGTGACATTTTCGGAAGGCTATCAACTTCCTTCAGTGCTTGACAAAGGGATTAGGGTTTAAGACCAATTCATAAATACAATTTTAGGGAGCTTCTAATGTATCACCCAGTAAACCTTTTCTTAGAACACCAAGGTCATGCAGCCCTGAAGACTAGATAGCGGAAACTCTAAGCTGATAAACATCAAATATGTTACAGTCTCCTATACGTACTGTGAGAGAGAACGCAAGTGTTTTGCAACATGCCTGCTTGGCTAGCCATTAGCCCTACTCACCACGATCAACCCACTTTCCATTTCATGTCACAATTTCTTTTCCATTTGATTCTCCACTATTGGGACAAGATTCCCATTCTGGCCCCTAAACCCCAAACCCCTAAACCCTAAAACTTAAACCCCAAACCCTAAACCCTTACTGCCCTAAATTGAGGATGATATCACAAGCCGGGTCCGCGTCTTCGCGCGTGCGAAGCCGGCGGACAAGCTGGAGATTGCAGCTTGGGTGTAGATTTCAGAGTGTTGAATCCGGATGCCAAGGTGTTACGGCTTAAGGTTTAGGGGGTTTAGGGGGTGTAGGGTATAGGGCTTAGGGGTTTAGGGTTTAGGGTTTGCAAGTTTTGAGGTGTTTGGCTTGAAGTTTAGGGCTGATGGTTGAAGGTGTGGAATTTATGGTTTGAGGTCCAGGGCTTGGGGACAAGGAGTTTTTGGTTTTGGGTCTCAGGCCTGTTTTTTGTGTTCAGGATTCAGGGTCGAAGGGGTAAACGGCTCAGCACCTTGTGAAATTCCAGTTCCACCTGCAGATATGATGCATTCCACAGGACAGACTTGAAGAATCCCTCCAATCCATAACTGACCTGTAAGTGTCATGGGGTCCTTACCACTCCCCGTACACTATCCTGCCCATGTTCCCCGTGAATGAGCAGATTTCGTGTTTATAAGGCCATTAAGGGAAACTTAAGGGAGGGTCGTATGGAGGGGGGCCCCTAAACCCTAAACCCCAGAACCCTAAATCTACCACGTAATTTAAGAGGCAAGGTTGAAATCCTGAGTTTTGTATTCAACCCCCAGACCTTCGAGCTGAGCTGAGCTCGCACGGTTGCGCTTAGGGCTAGGGTTTAGGGTCTATGGCGTAGGGCACATGCACAAGACCAGAACTTGAAACTGGGTCATTCTTGAGAAGGATTGTTAATCTTCAGTCTAACATCTAATAAGGAGCATTAATTACGTGTCTTACGTACTTGTATCCCAATAAAATAAGGAACCACACGCCGCAACACTCCAATCTCCAAAAAGTAGGCCCCCCCCAACCGTGCAGTGTGTGGGGGATGAATTCCAAATACGCCTCCAGTATATCCTAAACCCTAAACCATGACACCTCCAGTATACCTCAAACCCCTGGTCAAGCCCTCCCGGCCTGGTTGTAGTAAACATTTAAGTTGGGATCCCCCCTCGCAAGCAAGATGGTGCTTCCTGACAAGGTTCAGGATTTCCACTTAGGCCCACGTCTGCAACAAGACCCTGACTTTGGTAGGTACCTACTTGGCTTAGGCCCCAAACCCCTTCTTAGCACGAAATGCCACAGTTGCTCAGGTGAAATCCCTTCAAAGACAAGGGCTTGTCTGCGCCATGCTCCTCGGGTGGAGCGAAGAATGAAGCAAGATACTTTCATCTTATAGCTTTCCTATCATATAACTCCTGTTTTAGCCTTTGCTTGCTGTCATAGGTATATTGACCTCTGGCAGTGACGAAGATGAGGTGTAATGTCGAATCTTGGTTGGTGTGAGGTCGAACGTGTGAGGCTTCCCATGCATTTCTCAGTTTCGCCGGGCGAATTTTAACGACCTCATCCAACCTCACCCCAAATAGTGGTTATACAGCTATACATGCCATGGTATCAAAATGACGTTCTCTCAACTTTGGGACGATTCGAAGTTTAGGGTGTAGCCTTGGCAGGCCCCCATAAGACCTCACAGGAAGGCCATCTTCTATTTCGTTTGCCATTGCATTTGATTCTCCATTCTACTGAAATCTAAACCGTATATACCTAAAAACTCTTTCAAAGGGACCTTGGATTTCCGGGAATTCCCCCTGTCCGCAGCAGCTCTGGATCTGAATGGTCGAGCAGGGCCATCGGTTTTTCGTTTTTGAGACTCAAAAAAATAGCGCGCCCGAATGGCTCCCAGAGATGTGTGGAGATACTAAAGGTGTGATGGTGTGGGGTTAAGGGTACTATGGGGCATCAGGATAATTTTGATAAGCTCCCAGATGGCGATTGACATTTGAATCCAGAAGGCTCCTACTGCAGCAACTAACTATTCTTCAAGGACCTCTTTCAGATGAGTGGGTCGCCACATGAAACAGGCACCAACACTCTTGTGTTGTCACCATGGTATTTGCTCCTTATACTCATCAGCATCTTGTCTGCTATTTGGGGCTGTCCACCCCACCGCAACTTAGATGAAAGCATCATCACTCTCGGTAACCTACGTATGGAACCCTAAGTTGTAACCAGGTAATTTCTTACAGTCTCGTATACTCACTTGAATAAGTAGAACTACTGTATTGTACTATACCTGCCTAGCTAGCTATGCAAGCCTTGTTTAACCACTATACCTCCCCCTTCCATCTCATTTTGAATTTGCCGATGAATTCTATGTTTGTTTCGAGAGTGTCCCCATACAGCCCTATATGAGCCCTCCGTACTTCCTGCATAGGCCCCATATGACGAAAGCATTATTTATATACACCCTCAGCCCTCAGCCCTGAAACCCCAAACCCTGAACCCTAAGCCCTAAGCCCTAAACCCTAAGCCTGAAACCCTCAACCCTAAATCAAATTGAGGACCGGCGACGGGGTCAACGACGCCCCGGCGCTGAACGAGGCCAACATCGGCGTAGCCATGGGCATCCAGGGCACGGAGGTGCGACTCTACATGTGTCTACACAGGGGGTTTGAAAGGAGATGTAGGGGTTAGAAAGGGTTATATAGGGGTCATATAAGGGTTATATGGGGTAATGTAGGGATGTTATAGGTTTCGGGGTTTAGGGTTTAGAATTTTAGGATATGGGGTCTAAACTCCTTAAACTCCTTGAAGGGGGTTTTCTGGGGGATTACATAGGGGATAAATGTTCAGGGTTTCAGGGTTGGGGGTTTGAGGTTTAGAGGAAGCCTTCGGGATGGTATGTGTATATATATATAAACACGAATATACATATACATTTCTACATATACTAATATATATATATATAACTATATATGTGTAAGTAAGTAAGTAAGTACGTATGCATGTACGTATGTATGTATATGTACAGCTGTAGGGGGTTCTGAGGAAATTCATTCACCGTCTTCAGCATTACGAAGTCAGATATTTCTGAACCTCCCAATTGGCTGTGGCGGTTAAGGGATCGAAGGGTTTGGTTTTTGGTTCCGATTCAACCTCACGACAAATGGGAGTAGTGAATCCCGCATTTTGGAGCAGAGTCGGGGAGAACTCTGAATGAAGAAGTCGCGGATAGCAATTCACAATGCGGGGCGCCCGGCAGTCGCTTTCACCAGGTCACCACGGGTCCTAACCATGCCGTCTCATGTGTGAGCTCTGATTGGGGCTTAGGGGAACCCCACTATGTTCCGGAGAGTCCATGCTAGTAGCTCGCAGCCCTGCGTAGAGATCTGGATCCCAACTCCTGGCCGCTGGACCCTAAACTGCCAGGAGGACGGTTTAAGTCTGCATGGTCTGTAATGTTATATCTCTTCATAGCCTGGATAGAATCATTCAATAATCAGGCCCCTACATCCCCCCTCCCGCCGGCCCCTCACAAGGTGGCGAAGGGTGCTGCCGAGATGATCCTTTACTGCACATGCGTCAGTACTTTATGATATTGTTCCCGTCTAGGCTCTATATACTTGTAGAAAACACTGCCATGAAAGTGATGTCCAATTTTCTTGAAGGAAGGCCTCCGACAAGCTAGGCGATGCTAGCTCTGGCTTGAACTAGTTAAGTAGCCCCCTTCCTTCATGATTTTTGGGGTTATATGTAACAAGTTTCGGTACACTGCTAGCAAGAGATTTCCAGCTAAACCCGAAACCACGAAGCTTGCCTAGGCCTCAGGTTGCTTCATTTTGCACCTGGTCTGTCAGAACTGCAATGAACCTGGAGTCTGTATGACTAGTTACAAGATAGAGGCTATGTTGTCTAGCATATGAGCTGCTGTCAATATTTGTTTTACCAAGGGGCCATTAAGGTTGGACATAGGGGCCCTGTTGTAGTTTAGTATATAGCCCCTAATATAGTCCCTAATAAGGAACCCATGTCCATTAAATTGGGTAGAAAATATTGACTGTAGCTCATATGTTTACTGCGGATGTCAGTCTCCAATGTCAATGAAGAATGAGATGCCATTCTCCTTTAGGCCGTAATACTTTGCAAGCAGAAAATGACCTGACCTTGCTCAAAAACTTTAAGCACCAAACCCTAAATCTTGAGCCCGGATTTCTAAAACCTTGAATCTGAATCTTGAACTCTAAAAGAGGGGGGCCTAAATTGACCGCCAAGGATTTTGACGGATGATAACTTCACCTCCATAGTGAAGGCGGTTGAGAAGGGACGCTCCATCTATGCAGGAATCCAGAAACTTGATCTGCAGTTGTGGTTTGTGGTTTAGGGTTCAGGGTTTAGGGTTCAGAGTTTAGGGTTTAGCGTTTCGGGTTTAGGATTCAGGGTTTTTTGGGTAATATAGGGATAATGGAAAAGGTAATGGAAACTACTATAGTATATTGGGGTTGTATAGGGATGATGGAAAATAAAATGGGAGCTACTATCTATACTAGTGGTTTTCTCAAGGTAGATGGGGTCTGGAGAACGCTATGAAAGTATGATAGCCGAAGTAGACGTTAAATTCGGTGGATGCAAAAGATTTAGGGTCTACGCTGAGCAGTATGAAAGAGGCATACTCTAGTTCCAGCAATAGCGAGTCAGAGCATATTCTGTTTGCTAGAAGACTCCAGCCTTTGTGGGATCAACAGTCCCAGAGCACCCGCAGTTGAGTTTTCACCACGTCTTTTGAAGGGTCTGCAAGAGTAAAGATCAGAGCCAAGTCAAGTGTGAAGTGTGTGTAAGCCCGATGTAGGACATCACCTCCATGTATCTCGCCCCCCCCCCTCCCCCCTTTCAAAAGGTCTTCTGGCAGCTGATTGGATGCAGGATTTGGATGGATCTGCTGGTTCTCCGGTTACAAAGCCCCTTTCTTTTGGAGTACACATTACGTAATATGGCCCAAATATATACCCTATAATCCTTATATAACCCAGTATAGTAGCTTCCATCTTATTTTCCATGATCTCCAACATTACCCCAATATTCAAACCCTGAACGCTGAGGTCTGAGCTTTGAGGCTTTGAGAGATGCCAGCCTCCGAGAGGGCACAGGCCCAAAGCCAAGACCCCGTTCTTAGGCTTTAAGCTACACGAGCCTGAGAACCCTACACTTCAGATTCCGACCTGGATTCATACGTATAGTAAAAAAATGGGTAGCCAGTCAATGTACCCAACTAAAATAAATTTGTGCCTAATATTTTGGTATCTTAACACTTTTTTCTCCGGAGTCTAGGTTAGTTACTCGAGCTAGAGTCTACCTCAGACCCTCCAACGTAGTACTTTTTTGGTTGTCCTAATAAGAGTCCTAACCAAAAAGCATACCAAACCCAAAAAGGAATTAGGGTTTAGGGGCAATACCGTTGGGGCATAGAAGGATCCTTACTTCCCGAAACCATACCCAACCCAAAGAGGAACTAGGGTATATATATATATGTAATATAATGTATAGCATACATTTATATAATGGGTTTTTTTATAGGGATAGAACAACGGCAGCTACTGTAGTATACTCGGATATATATATAAATATTTCTACATAATGGGGTTATATAGGGATAGTGGAAAAGAACATGGAAACTGCTCCAGTAGAATAGGATATATACTCAAACCTTCATTTGAGGGTCCAAGCAAATCCTAAACCCTAAGTCGTCTCCCTCCAAGGAAGTTTGTTGCCTTCATCATGTCCGTGCACATTGCTGAAACTTGGAATGCCAGTCGTACCCTTTTGCCCTTTTTGCGTAAGGGTTTAGGGTTTAGGGTTTGGATTTTCAATACAATATACCAACAGGGAAAAAGGGCATCTTATTGTAATAAGGTTACTGGGCTACCATAAGGTTCCTGGACTACCAAGGAAGTCATCCAGATCTTCTTCTGCGTGGTGGTCTCCATGCCGCTCATGCGTACGCCTCTCCAGAACCTCGCAAGCTTTAATACAGATCCCAATGCCGCAGTTTGTCCATCCCAACTCATATCTGATCCCTGTAAAGTACCCTTTTCTCCCCTTGTCAACCCCATATACTTTAAGGGTGTGGTAGAAGCCCGGATGATTGCTCACGTTATTCCCTCATAATCCCTGTATGACTATAGGATACTGCCGCCCAAAACCGTATTTTTGTCCCTACATTACTGTATTTCAAGAGACCACTATGTTGAGGCGATCTCTAGGCTGGCCTGGGTAGTTGGGGGTGTCATGAATGAGGGGCCATAATATAGACCCCGCTATACTGCAGTCCCTGTCGTAGGGACTCCGCGAAAGTCCTGACTTCCACCAACAATGTTGACCCTGATTTCTGGGCGTGTAGTTGTCGGTCTATGTAGAAGTAGGCCCCAGCAACCGCATCGCTGTCGAGTATATCAGCATCCATATTCCTTCGCGCACTCTCCCTTAAGCACCTTCAACCGTAAAACCCGAATGCTAAAACCCCAAGCCCTAAATCCTAAACCCCGAACCCTAAACCCCAAACCCTTAAGTCTAAATCCGTTCAGTTTCCAGGATCCTCTTCTTGATTCTGGTGACCGATCTGCCACCATCCATTGCGCTCGGCATGGAGCCAGGTGAGAGGACTGACGGAGTCGGGGTTTAGGGGTTATGCAGGGTTCATGGTTAGGAATGTGGGATTTAGGGCTTAGAGATTTGTGGTTTAGTGTTCAGGTTTAGGGCTTTAGGGTTGAAGGGGATTTAGGCCTTTGGGGTTTAGGGAGTTAGGGTTCAGGGTTTAGAGGTTAAGGTTTAGGGTTTAGGGGTTATACACGGAGTCGGGCTTTACTGGGTTGCTGTTAAGAAACTTACTATAAGCTATCATATTATAGGCGGCATACAGTACATAATGGCGTTTCCTTATTAAAGTAGTTTGGATTAAGTTCCCTAACAGCAACCCTGTTTAGGTTTTGGATTACATAGGATCATAGGGGTTTTATTTGGGCTATGTAGGGGATGTAGAGAGTATAGTGGGATTGTACAGGGATACAGTCTCATATTTGGAGAATCAAGGGAGAAAGACAAGAGAATATGGAATGGAAGCTGGATTTACATAGGTTTTTGAAATCAATGTATCTTTCCTTGGTTCGGCATCGGAGGTGGCGCAGGAGTGCTCGAGGTCTGTTCACATCGAGTCGAGACCCAATAAACCAAGACTAGCATCTCAACCCTAGACTCTAAACTTCAGACCCCCAAAAGCCCGAAACCCTGAACCCTATACCCTGAACCTAAACCATAAAGCCTAAACTCTGCTTCCAGGAATATCCTTCAGCAGCCGCCCAGGCCCAAGAACGAACCCATTGCACCTAGGCTTCAAGTTCTCGGTCTTTGTTTTTCAGGGTCACGGCTTAGGGTTTAGGGTTCAAGTTCTCGGCCTTTGTTGGGATTATACACGGATTATATAGGGGTTATATAGTCCTTATATAGAGATTGCAAAGGGATTGTTTGGGGAGCACATAGGGATTGTTTTAGGGATTATATAGGGTTATGTCTAGGGTTATATCGGGTTTAGGGTTTTCAACAAGCGGGGTCCCTTTTCTAGGGAGTCCCCACAACAAGGATTATAATGTATTGGGTTCTATATTAGGGTCCCTTATTTACGCAAATCCAATGTCCAATTTTTCACTACTAAGACCACGAAAATAGAGAGTCATAGTTGGTAGTATTATCCCCAGCGGAGCGAGAGAAATTGGTCGAGATGAGTGTTCGGGGTGTTTAGTTTAGAGAGTCTGGGGTTGGATGAGCAAACTTGTTTCGGCGGGATGTCTTGGCGTGTAGAGGGATAATGACCAAAAAGCCTTCCCCAGTCTTGCCAGCGTCATCATTTTTATGGGGGCCCCGCGGCACGAAAATCGAATCTGAAAGCTTGATCATGACCCTAACAACCCAAAATCGCCAGCTTCCATTCTTGAGGTGGGATGTGAGGCCTTAAGCCGCACAAACAAGCATGAGATTAAACTCTTGAATCTTCAGGTAGCTAATGTAGACCCATGACTAACAAACCCCTTCCCATTAATGGGGATTATAATAGGGATCCTAATTCTAAGGCCCTTAAAAGGATGGCGTTTATTAATCAGGGGTCTACATTAGAGCATGATAAGAGGGCTTGGGGCACCTCAGCCTCCAAACTTAGGACCTTATAATTATCATATGAGCCATAATCTAAACTCCTTGAAGGGGGATATATAGGGGATTGTATAGGGGACTACTATAGGGGATATTAAGGGGGATACTCGGAGTTCAGACTATGGCTCATATGACTGCAACGGGGGTCCTAGTTTTAGCTCTTGGGGTTACCGAAGCCGTCTCATGATACCAGAATCAGAAATGAAATCAAGAAAGAAGCGCCAAGTGTTTGGCGAAGGTCTTGTTTGTTCGGGCTTCCAGCAACGGAAGCTTGTGTGACATGAGTAGTTACAAACAGTGTTGTTAAGATCTTGAAGGGTTTAGGTTTTTTGGGGTAGGCCCTAAGCCCTAAACCGAAAGTTTGGGGGCTGTATAGCAAGCTCGAGTCTGAGAGTTTTGGGTAGGTAGAGTTAAACTTATACGTCGGGCGGTAGCCACTTTGGGAGGTATTTCCCGACAACCGACAGCTCTATCTTCCATGTTGATACCCTGAACCTTAAGCCTTAGTGTAGACGATTTTATCTCAGTGGCGGTCGGGATTGAGAAAGATTTGGGCTTCTAGATTCTCTATTTCCCTTGAGCTGTAAACCATCAAGCCCAGGATAAATAGCGTGCAAACCCCGTCTGTTGTTAATGATGCCCAACTCGGACGAATGACCTGACGCACACGCAGACATCCCCTGCCAACCTTGAGCATTGTCGTGGGTGCCTGTTCGTTGCGCCACTTCAGACCTAATCCCTAGGCCAGTGCATACGCCACACCAGCATCTGAAGCTTCCATCCCAGATGACAGGATGCTCAAGACATGTGCCGTTTGATGTTGTCTTTATCCGGTAATCGCCTACACTCCAGAATTGAGGGCAAATCCAGAACATCCAGAACCCTGTAGTAGAGCATGCAGAGCCCCCAAAGTTACATGTCCCTTGCAGACGGAGGGAGGGGCTTATGCCTAAACCCGAAACCTTAAAGCCCTAAATCCTGGACCCTGTCAGTCCTTGGAAAGCAGCGCAGGTGCTCGGCTGGATGTGGGTGAGCATCCTGCTGAATCTGGGATATGCCTGGGAATTCTTCAAAGTTGTTGTTCTTACAGCCAAGGTTTTTTGACAACCGTATATAACCCTAAACCCGAAAGGGCCCTGGAATCTACCCGAGGAATGGCTTTGTGCTTTCGGTGGTGATCATTGCAGTTTACACAATCGCGCTCCACCACTACCTTGGCGTGGTGTTTCTGGAGGAGACTCGGTTAGGGTTTAGGGTTTCAGGGTTCAGGCTTTAAAGGCTTAAGGTTTAGGGTTTAAGGGCTTAGGGTTTAGGTTTCAGGGTGTAGAGTGTAGGAAGGTTTCTAGAGACATTGTAGAAATTGCTGCTGCCACTTTGAAATCGGCCCCCTGAAGGGAGTCCTTCGTGCTTCGTATATGTAGGCAACTTGGCATCTACCCTCGGTTGTCCTAGATACATGGTCGGAAAGAATCACCCTGTGCCAGGTACCTGAACCCTAAACCCAAAACCTAATAGTGCTGATCTTGTGCCGTCGGATTCCAGACTGCGTATTTGCGTATCGCTGTGGCTGTTTTGAAGTAAGCACTTCTTAGGGTTTTTGGGGTTTGGCACCCGGGGTTTAGGTTTAGGGTAGTGCTGAAAGCCCTGAACCTTGAATCGTAATTTTGCATTGTCATACCCCAAACCTGAAACCAAAGACAGGACATCTTAAAGGCCAAGGAAGACAAAGGCTCGTGGGGCGGGTGCGGCGGCGGCAAGGGCCTTGAGTTTTGATGTTTTAGGGTTTCGGGGCTGGGGTATTGTTGGTGCGCGTTGGAACATGGAACTAGGGCGCTTCATCCACTTTCCGCTCTAGGTCCTGAGGTGCGGAAAAGCCAGAATGCAGTAGGGCTTTCAGTCTGCGTGGTTGAGGGTCACAAGTCAGGTGTTTCAGGGCTTAGGGCTCAGTGTGGCGGTGGCTTTAAAAGCGTCTTGAAAGGGCGCTACTTGGAGGCCCATGGGACTTAGTAACTACTTATAACTGGGGTTATAACCCTAATTATAATTGGGGTAACCCCTATATAAGCCCATTTAGGGAAATTATAAGTAGGGTTATAAGC